TAAAGGTGTGAACAAGCAAGCAAGGAAGCAATGAACCTGCAGAGTCAAGGTTCTGAGAAATTATTAGGCATCCCGGGCGGCACCAGTTCAAATTCATCACTCATTATCTCCTATACCAGCAAGGTGCTGATCCACATGTTGGGACCCCGCTCCACTCTAGTGCTTCTTTTTAAAAAATTATTCATTTAATCTCTTTCCATTTCTAGATAGCAAAGTTAAGACAATTCTGCTTATGACAACTTCCACCCACCCACAGATAACCTTTGATTTATTTTTTTTTACCCTTAAAAAGCTGCTAACATATAAAGCACTACAATTCGGGCTGCCAACCTCAAGGTCAGCAGTTTGAAACCACCAACTCTTCTGCGGGAGAAGGATGAGGCTTTCTGTTCCCATAAATATTTACAGCTTCGGAAACTCTATACAGAGTCGCTGTGAGTTGGAACTGACTCCATCACACATAACCATCACCACAACCTCCAAAATGGAGTCTGGTGTGGTGCTGTAATATAAGCAATGGACTGCGAACCCCAAGTCGATGGTTCAAACCCATCAGCTACTCTTGGGAAACCTATACAAGGTTGCTATGAGTCGGAACTGACTCAATGGCACTTAACAACAACTTCTAAATTATACTGAGATTTCAAAAATACAAAAATGTTCCTGAAACACACCAAGAAACTAAAAAATTAAAGGCCAGAATATTAACACAACCACCCTATTTCCTTTTTGTATTAACCAATGGTTAAAGACAAGGTTCAAATGCTCCCAAAGAAAAAAAACACCTATTTTCATTTGATCTCAACCCCTTGAAAAGGCAGCTTCTAGCACACAAATATTGTTGTGGAGTTACACATTATTGATCGTTTCTCAAGGAAAAGATGTTTGGATCTAATAGAGGTCTGTAAAGATTGTTGTCCTATTTTCCCAGACTCAATACTTGAAGTTTTGTATTTTTCTAATAAGAAAGGAACTCTATGGTGTTCATAAGGAAAAGAAGGTACTTCTTAGGGGAATCCAGAGCAGCTTTCTTTTCTTCCCATTTAAGTACGCACACACACTTGCAAGTAAGTGTGTACACACATTTGATAATACCAAATAAAGAAAGCCAAAGATGGGTACAGAAACACACATACTTACAACTTATAGAATCTATTTCCTTCATTCTCTTCTCTCTTACACACACAAACAAACACACACTTTCCACATATTTATCAAATGAATGGGGAAATGGAGTGTGGGCAATAAAAGGTTGACTTTGCTTTCAAAAGAAGAATTGGTCAATTTTGTGCAACATGACCATAGACTGGAAAATAGTAAGACATAAGCTTTGGAATGTGCATGTCTCTTCCTACCCCCCCTCCCCAAAACTCCCTATGACATTGGGGGAAAAATACTGCATTGCAGCATTTGTCAGCGCATATTGTGTGTTTAGAATCTGTGGGCCAGCTCACCAACACATGTAGATATTAAGTGTCCAGACAAATAAATTAAACACCTGGTGGCCACAGATCATTGGAACTGATAAAGAAATCTGTCAAGGCCAAAACACCCCTGTCCATGTACAATGACCTCTATGAAGACCGGCTTTCTTTACTTGCAGTACACACAACCAAATTTGTTTTATTTTTTATTTTAAAAAGATTAAGATACCCAGGGCTAATTGAAGCAGCATGTTTCTCCATGGAAGTACAGTATTAGGTCTGCATACAGGAAGAAAATCTGGAAATTCCATTCAAAATAAAGAGATAAGTATAAAGGGAAGCAATCAAACCAAAGAAAAGAACTCACCCTAAGGAAACCCTTTCATTGTTCATAGCAACTCTAACTTGGAAAACAACTCAATTTATCCACAAATTCTTTTAGAGATATCAAAGCACTGTTCATGCACGGACTTCTAGATTAGAAATTTCAAATACATTATCACCAGCAGAAAAGCTAAGCTTAAAATATCTGAAGTCTAATGTGTCTGGAACCCTATTATAAGACTGAGTTTAGAATCACAAGGCACCCATAGCTCATTCTCTCTCTCTCTTTTAAAGTAGTCTATTGTTGTTTGTTACTTCACAGCAATACAAAATGCTTGAATATTCAAGAGACTAAGGAAGAGAGATAGAAAAAAGTTTTAAAGCTTTGCACAAACTATCAATCAGAAGCAAGTCAAGCTGTATCTGGTCAGGAGAATAAGTTGAATGAATGGCAGTTAAGAATGAATGGGACTGAGATCACGAATGAATGGTAAAGTTGCTCCTTAGTTGCTGTTTTTTCAGTCAGATATTAAAATCACTCTTGTAAATAACTGATTCTCAAAACAATTTCTAGCTATTTCCCCCTCATATTTCCACATTACACTTTCAGAAATATAAATATTAAGTTATTTAGCCATTGTATTACTAAGAGATATGTGGACATGCTGATCATTAAAACTGACAGGTAGCCAGGTGGTTTCTACAGAAATATTTTCAGATTTTCATTTTTTCATGAATGCATACTCAACCTTGTGCTTCCATAAAGGCACACCTCTACATATAGGTAGCAGGCATTAAAAATTTTAAGACAAAGAAGCAAGAAAGGTCAGCAGTAGAACCACATGTTTTTTTACAACCCAAGCCAAAATGACAGTTCTTATGGAAATTACTTTCTGCTAGCTAAAAATATCAGAAATTTTCAAAAACAATATTAGAGACAGTCAAAGAAACTGTTCTATTTCAAAAGCAACATATGTTTAATAATTCCAAATTTGAGAGTAATGTTCAAGTGTATGACAAAAAATAAGTTCATTTATTTTTATCTCAAGGGTCAAAACAAATTTAAAAAATGTCCCCCTAATAAGAAGACAAACCAAAAAGAAGCATCTACAAAGAAAAAGGAATAGGGGTGGTGGTGGAGATTTGCAATAAGAGTGAAAATTAACAGTAATCTCAGTAAAATCAGTCATACTCCTAACCTTTTAATATTTTTCAATATTTTGAAAATTGCTTATTTGGGGGCTTAGCATTAGTTAACTGATTCTGTATGTATCTATTTTATCTCCCAGGAAGATACCATAACAGATCAACATTTCAGTTGTTTTTACGCTATCTCCTATTCACCAGAGTACTATACCTTTCAGACCTTCTGGTACCAACCATCATGGGAAAAAGAGATTACTAGTAAAGCACACTTAGAGAAAAAAACAAAACAAAACAAAAAACCCCGAGATGCCTGTCACCCAGTGCTTGCATGAGTCCCAGACATTCAGGCACACTAAAAAAATAGTAATAAGCTTTTCACTTAATTTATGCCACGACTAGAACCAGGACCAAATGCTGAATCGAAGGTAGTGCTTGTGAGAGCCCACATAGCCTGATTGGGTCCTGTATCTGGAAGTATGGGGAGAGGGAAGTAAAGCATAAGGCAAGAACACAGCTCTTCACTTATTATATCTTAATTTCCACTTAGGATATAAAATGAGAGATACAGCGAACTCCTCAGAACTGCAGCATCAATATCTGATTTGGTAAAAATACCATTATAACCTCACACAACATTATTGCTTTGGGTAAATCGATTCTACCTGTATTTCTCCTATGGATATTTGCTGGAATTTCTAAGAAATAATTTGCAGAACCTATCAGTTGTGGGAGTTCACTATTATGCTTCCGTCAACTTCATTCAATATAATTTACATTTTTTTTCAAATGGCCTCATAGGATTCCTTGCGATTTTTTGCACGTACAAATTCACAGCAGGGATAAGGGAGAAAGGAAAAAGAAAGAAAGAAAGAAAGATTCCCTACCCTCCCTTCCCTTCCCCCTCTCCTTCTCTCTGTGTTTTTTTAAACCAAGAAAAAAAAGGGGGGGGGTGCATAGGACAGATGCTTAAAAATAGATTTCTAAAAATCACTGTAAACCAGAGTCAGAAATGTAATTAACACCTATTTATAAAGAATAATTAAAGTTGGGCCAGTCACAAAGAACGGCAAAGATAATCGAGGTCCTGTCCCCCTCCCCTCTTTTTTTTTTTACACTGTTTGCAGTGTGTTCTCAATGATAGCCACCTGCTCCCTACTCGGCTTCTCCTCTGTTCGTTTCCCCGGCAACCTTTCATTGGGTTTTCCTCCCAGCTATCGCTTTCAGTTGGGCTGCTCGGTCTAATCTTATTTGTTTTACACCCATCAAAACAACCAGCCAGACAAAGGCAATCCTCTAAGAATGGGGGAAAGACCATAGCTTTGTTATAACATCTAGGCAGAGCAAAAAGTCCTCCCCAGGCTTTGCTAGTGAAAAACGAGTGAGATGGATATGAATTTACAGTCTACCCTCATAACGGAGCTCGGAAACCCCATGAAAGCTACTGCCTGGTGAAAATTCAAAGTCAAAGTGGACACTCATGGCATCTGATCGTGCCATTTTGTGCCTATCTTCAGGGTCAACATCAGGTGACAGGAGTGGTACTCAAGGAGTTTCCCTGCTTCTTTTTTTTTTTTTTTTTTCCAGAAAAAGATGATGCTAAAAATAGATTTACTACTTTGGCTGAAAGGTTTTCCACTTCCCTGTCCGCATCCAAAAGTCATGTTTCACAATTGCATCTGTTGGTGCTGAATCTCACCACCTCTACCCTTCATTCCAGCCTTCCTCATCACTCCGAGCATGAGAGTGAAAAAGAATTGTGCCTTTAACTTCAACAGTCATGTAATTCACGTGAAGGCTCACAGAGACGGTGGACACGGCAGCCAACAGTGACGGTGACATTGTGATTGTCAAAAGAGACACCAACCTTGCTTGGCTAAAATGTGTGTTGGATAGGAGAGGCAGTGTGTGTGCTGTGTGTGTCTGCGGTGCCATTACACTTGGAGATGTATTCTGGCTTTCAGAAAAGAGAAATACTAATAAACATACACAAACGATCTGCACAGTGATTTACGATGCACAGTCCACCATCCTTACAGACATACACACACACACACACCCACCCACCCACGGCTGGAACCTCCAAGCTGCCTTTCTCATTTCACTTACCATCTTCAAGCCATTCCACTCCATCTGTGATCAGAAGAAGATGGACCCCTCACACAGTGTGTCAAAAGCGGAAAGGAACGTTATGTAAAAGCTGACATTCCTTCTTACAGAACTGCTGCCCAGAGAAGGAAGCAACAACTCAACACGCCAGGCACTGCTACACATACAAGCCGCCTCCTCTTTTTTTATGAGGTCATGACAGGAAACTCTTTGAAATACAAGATGCAGCATTTACTGAAGCCCAAATAAATCACTCTCTTTGCCGTTTTGACTGCGCAGTCCCCCGAAACACAACTGCCCATCTCAACGTTCAGAATCCAGGAGCTGTCTCCAGAGGTTTAAATTTCCAGCACGTAAATGGAGAGATTCTTAACCCTGCTGCACCCACCCCCGGCCCCACAAAACCCAGGCACGTAGACAAACCCCCTCTCCCTTCCAAAAAGAAAAGCGCCTTCTTTTGCCATTTTGGTCTCATGAAATAAAACCTCTTTCAAGAAACCAGCAATTATTTCAGCCCACCCCTCTCTGCCTTTATTTTGAAGGGGAAATTGACGACGACCTTTTAAAAATGACAGTTTCTCTCCCCACTGCTTTTCAATAAAAGGACCTACCCCACACTCTCTACACAAAAGAGATAGTAATGTAAGAGCCAAACAGTAGCAGAGAACTAAACTCTTGTGCAAGCAAAAGACTGGTCAAGGTGTAGATGCTTTTCTTCCCTCCGGCAACACAAATAACGGATTAGAAATCTAGTCATACCTACCATAACCATTCTTATTGGCAAATATTGGGTCTCGCAGAGCTTCGACTCTTCTCTTAAAATTTGCAAAGGTTTCAGAATATATTTTCAAATGACTACAATTGTAATATATTTCTAAAGATCCACAAAACACAGTGTGGATGATTGTAAAGTAAATCAATTATTTGGGGGGTGGGGGGAGAGAGAAAGAAAAAAAAAAAAAAAAAAAAAAGGAAAGAAAAGGAGCAGTGAGCTGAAACCCCCGATTCTAGGATGTAGATAAGAACAACTGAACAGAGCCTTGCTGAAATTGGCTCGAAGCTTCCCCTTTTTACATCCATTTATGGGACCATCTGTCAGCCAAAGCCAGGATCTGATTGGCTGGGGAAAGGAAGGGAGGCGTTGCAACATCAGGTGCTATTTAAATTAGCTACTGCCAGATTGACGATGTTAATGATTTGGTGACCTCTACAACAACAGAGACCAGATTTCTGAACTGCTTCTTGTGTCTGGTAATTAAGGCCCGGCTGAAGCAACAACAGCCATACTTGTATTTTTACCTTTTCCCTCCTCCCAGCTCAAAAGTACTGTAACAACTGCAGGTCACTGGCGGTTTGCAAACCTCAACGTTGTGAGGGTCCTCCCTTTCCCACGTTCTGAGGGCTGCACCATCCCACCCCTCAGATGGAGGGTTTTTCTCAGTATAGAATAATTTCAGCCACCTTATCTTTCTCGACAGTTGCTTTTTAGCGAAATGCATATTTAATGACCTGCCTCTAGGCTTAAAGATACAACAAAAGCACTTTAATGTGCCAATATATCCACATTTTAACTTTCATTTACCAATATTGCTGATTTCTAGTAAGTAATGCCCTTCATGCAGCTAACATTAGTCAATATTTCAAAAAAGAAGCAAGTTAGAGAATGCACTTGCTCTGTGAAGTAGGTTCAGACAAGTTTACCTCAGAAAACTATTTCCTAGTAAACAAAAAGGAAAAAGGAGGGGGGAGGGCAGCTGTCAGTCTCTACCTTTCTGCCTTCTGTCTAAGCTGTTCAAAACTGAGAATGATGAATGATTTATTTAAATGAAATTATTTCTCAGTGTGGATAAGGACATGATTTGAATTTTTTACAAAATCCACTAAAATACATTTCCTACTGCTATAGAGAAAGGTAAAACATAGCCTTATAATCTGAACAGAACAACTCATCTTGCTTAACTGAATGAGTGATTTTGCTTCTGTCCTTCTAAGGATGTTTCCCTACACACTTTGGCCTCTTAAAAGGCTTTCAAAGAGACATTTATTAAGTGTGCAATGATAATACAGTATGTCCGCCTGTGCTATAATTTCATAACCTTTATGCTATCAAGCCTTCATAGTATCTGTTTTGTTCTCGTTTGAGATTTTTAAGTGGCTTACCTGAGAACTTTATGCTTTACACCTATCCAAAATTATACCTATTCATTTAATTTATAATTTAATTAATTTGTTCCTCCAAATATATAGAGGTAACAAATGTTACCAAAGACACAATTCAACATAATCTTTGTTCCTTGGCTGGAATTGGTAGTGAGATCGGATTAGGCAGAGAAGAAAAACAGGCCGAAAAAGATGTTACACTTCAGAGCTCCTAGGTCCAAGAATTAATGGGTCTGTGAAAAAATTATTAGAAAAGAAATAATCTTTAAATTTTTGAAAATCTTTCCAAGCTACTATATCATGGGCACACACACACACACATACGCGTGCTTTAAGAATCACAGATACACCATAAAATGTGTTGGGTATATTGCATGAACTCCACAGACTCAATAAAAATAAATTAATCTATTGCAAATGAAAATACATGAAATAGAAAAAGTAGAAATGTCACAAATATAATCCCTTCAAGGGGAACAGTACTGAATTAAATAAACTATATATGTATGTATGTATATTTAACAAATGTACAAAGATTCTTATGAGTCCCAATTGTTGTTCTGTGTATTCAGGATGTTATAAATGGCTCAACATATGTGCACAAGGCAAGTACATGTGCCCCAAGTCAACAACAGAAACTCTGAGTGCCATGTCACCAATATAAAAATATTGTGAAAAGTAAATATTAACACAATGCCGACAAACACACAAATAAAAACAGTTCACTTGGAACAAAATGTGTACTTTGTATTTATCTGGAGATTGATAAACTAAAAGATAGAATTGAAAAAGAAACACCCTTTCTGCCACTCACTGCCACCTCAGCACACTTAGTGAGCCATGTATTAACATTAGGTATATCAAAAGGTATTCTGGCCATTTTCCTGAAATAGTTACTGTATATTACAGTATAAATAATGAACTATTTTTTTTTTTTTTTTGGCTAGGCTAAAAAATCCATGCACTTTGTATATTGATCACTTCTCCCAAAACCTCCATTCTAAAGTCTTTTCAACGGAATCCTCAAACACACACACAAATGTCCTCTGAGGCCTTTTCTCTAAAGACAAAGGCAGAATTCTATTGTTGGGAAAAGTCAACCTTATTATTGCATTTCCAATAGTACCATTCATCTTTCAGAGTGAGGGGCTGACCACTACATCAGTGGTGTGGCATTTGTAAAGCAACGGATTCTCAATATATTATCTCAAGAATCAAGCAGGCAAGTCTCCCAGTCATGCATGATTTTTTTTTTTTTTCCTGCCACAATCCTCCACCACCACAGAAAGAAACTTGTTTCACTCAAGCAGCTAAGGCAACCTAAAAATGATATCCCAGAGCTGTGTGGCTGCCAGCGCCGCTGTATCCCTCTTACCATAAATGAGCAGTTTCTTGACTCATTAATAAAAAGCTCCCTTAAAAGAAGTAATCTCATATCAGTCAGCCCCTCGCCACCAAGCACACATCCCAAAGGTTGCAGATATCTCAGCATCAGTCGCCGGCAGCCAGCTTTCCCATACAGAGTCCAGATGGACTGTACCAGAAGCCAATTCAGCGTTAATAACTACCTACTCCGCGCAGTGGAGAAGCCTTACATGGCACAATGGGCTAGGAAACAGCAGCCGGCTGAAACTGCAAATAAAAGAGACAACCAAATTCTCCAAAAGCACCGAAAGGAACAGAAATGGAAACGTGAACTGTATTTCTTTGACTTCCATGAGGGAAAAAAAAAAAAAGAATTCTTCATAAACATTAGGGGGGTAGGATGCAGAGAAGGGAGGGGGAACAACAAAACAAAACAGATGCTGCCCAGAAAAAAGTGACAAAATATTACCTCATTATTTAACAAAGCAGCATTAAGCGTCCTGCTGATTTCAAACATCTTGCCACAGATTTTGTTTTAAGAGAAACAGAAAGAATCCTTTGCAAAGCACTCCGTCTGCAAAGGGTTCTTCAATTTTCTTGCGCACCACAGAACAGTCAATATATTATTTCCCTAGAGTTCGCACATTAAAACCTCTAGTCAGTGAGCTGAATTTTCCCCTTATCTCACACACAGAAGACTCCTGTTATATGTACTGCTCTCTTTGCAAAAGCAGCCTGCCCCAAACATGGCTGGTGTTTAAACTACTCTTTAAAGTAACAGTTCACTGTATAACCACCAGGTGGGTAGAGTGCACAAATTCAAATGAACCATCTTAAAAGATTGTTGTTGTGTTTTGTTTTGTTTTGTTTTGTTTTCCCCCCTTGGAATTGTTTTTGGGTGTAAGACGTGACGTGAGAAACACCAGCAGCCTAGCAGGCAAGATTGTCTCTTGCAGTAGCTTGTCAAAATAAATAAATAAAATTCCTTCTCCTGTCTTATAGTGAGGAAATAAAACAAAACAAAACACCACCACCAATTCTAATAAGAACTGTGAAGAACGAAGCATAAACAAGCTTTGTTTCATTCAGCAAATGATGAACAGGAAAATCCAATCACCACAGTGCAAGGGGGGATACTGAAAACTCCATGGAAATGGTGTCTTTTAGCCAAAAGAGAAAAGTCATTGCACACATGTGATGAAAGCCCATTTCAAAAGTGCACATATGGACATAGCACATACAAGATGGAGGCAAGCGTTTTAAGGGTGCTACTTTTTTCTCTGAGCAAAACATTAGGTCAATTTGATGTCTTTCGTGCGAGAGAAATAACCAATAGCTTAAAAGTAAAGACATTGAAAAACAACAACACAACAACCCTATAAAACAAAATTGTAAGCATTCTTTTTTTAAAACACAATTACATGAGTACTTATAAACAAATACAAAAGCAAAACAATCAAACATCCCTAATCGGTCCTGTTCTTTCCCCCTAAGATTTGCCTTGACACAGAGTATTTCTGCTATGCACTATTTTGGATATATAGCTAACTTGGCCTCTCCTTTGTACCATCCTATTCCAATTAATCTGCTCTTCTGCCAGGAATAAATAGAATGTCCCAAGTTGAAAATGGTTGGTGTGTGTGTGTGTGTGTACAGTATTAAAAAGGAAAAAGGATAGAACCACCTAGACAAAAATAAATGGTATCACTTACATTGTTGTATGGCCTTAATTTAAAGAGAGTCTTACTATTTACAAAGCACGCATACCCCGTTCTGTGTTTCCATGTGTCTAAAACAGAAATCGACACACACACAGATACCTTAGA